ATCTGAGAATATAGCGTGCTATAACAGGGCAGCTGGTGGCAACAGGTGGCTCTCGATCTAACTTGGTCAGTGGGAGGGCTGAGAACCATCGACGAATAGGGAGAGTTGCGACATTGTGTTTGTCCATTGACCCTCAGCCCTCTACCTACTAAGGGGTACAACTTCTTCGAACTTGTGCGGTCTCGAGCTTGTGAAGATCGTTCATTATCAGTATCAAGTTTTTCACGGTTGCACGAACTCTTGCATTACAACGTAAATCTTCCCTCAAACTTTTGCGATGGAGGTTATCCAGAACCGTGATCGCAAATGTGATATCCATTGTGGCCGTCTTCATTTCATGACTAATAGACGCTAAAATGTAGTGCAAAACCAGAGCCGTGAGACAAATCATAAAACTCCATTACACTCTGTCTAGTGTAGTGAGTGTAAATCGACATAATATGCTAAGATATTGGAATCGCGAATATCGCACTGCTCAAGTATTCCTAGTCATTTTTTACATTCTCGAGCCTAAACTAACTCGCGGAAGACAAGTTCTTTTCTATTTCTCATGAGCGTTTATCTACGGAAAGCGACAGAGAATTGTTTTTCAGCAAAAGGCGAGGTATGATGTGAGACCTGCCTGCTTTCAGATACGTTTTGTTCGTTTTCAAGTAACTCGCAGTATGAATAACACATCTGAAACGAGATATTGGCATGATGACGTTGAAAATACTGCGGCGAAACATAACAGAAAGCCATCGTGGAGAGGGCCTTCCATCACCATTGAAATCGAATCGAGCCTCTGAACATTCCTAATGCTCTTGAGGCTGTTACAAAAATAATATAACTGAGGTAGGAACCTAGCCTAGATTCACCTTCGCGCTGGATCTCTTGTGAGCGACCATGACAGCAGAGGTAATCAGCATGTTCGCGGAGGCTGCTATAGCTGTGACTTTGCAGTACCGATTCAGTACTGGAACAAATATTGGATGGTAGAGAACGCTCGCAGTTTTTTCGCTGCGATCACAGCCCAGAATCGACATTGAACTACTAACCAATAGAGTCCATTCGAATAGTGACAACGCTAAATACCGCCATCGTAAAAAATTCCACCACCGACAAAGCGAATGCTGCCTCATTCATTAGATTATGTACGACTGATGATGAGACAAAATCGGCTCGAATCAGCTCCCTAAACAATTGCGCACTTGAGGATTATGGAATGCATTCAGCTCTCCGCTTTCACCCTCAGTTCTCGGCTTTACGGAGAAAAGACTGAAGGGGACGAGACCAAAGATGTCAGCTCTAGAGCTACCTTCATCATGTCCATATGAGCAAAAATCCTTAAAGACCCACCCACCTTCTGCAATGCACAACGAAAAGCCTGACTGCAACTGGCAAACACGCACAAATTCTGAACATAACATTGCCTGCGACGTCCAACTCGAACAAATTCAGCAATTCAGCACCGATGGAAGACCGTCTTTCGGGAAAGGCACTGTCGACCAGTTTAGCAAGGAATTGCTTTATACACCATCAAGGACAGGTCAAATCATGTTTATTCAGGAAATGTCAGGCTAGTCGTCATGAACTTGGCTATTCGGTTCTAGTGATATGATTTAAACGGACGCAATGTTTGAAGCGCAGGGATGAATCTGACTGTTGTCAAGAGTTGTACTGATTTTCAACGCTTTGGACATTCAGATTTGTACAATGTGACAAAATACAATATTAGGTTGTTTCACAGGTAACGTCCACTTTCAAAATTCTAGTCATTCTCGCCAGATTGAATTTATGGTTCTAGCCAAGATGTTGTGTAGGGGGTTAGTGTATTATGTCATGTTTGACAAACAACGTAGGGAGTTGCACGAGGAAGGCCGGATTGTACCGCGTGGCGGATTTAATGATTCTGCCGAACGACGCTGTCAAGTAATCCTACCCGGCGAGGGAGCCAAAACGGACGATAAAGTGATACGAAGTGAGGAGATGAGAGGGAGTGCGTATCTGAGCAAACATCCCACGCTCTTAGGGAACTTTTACTAGTAGTCCTACGTCCGGCCTCCTCCCTTCATTCTGTCGTGCTCTTAACCGATGCGAGATTTACACCGAGCACTCAAAATGAGTAACATATGATCTTCGGTCAGAAAAAATTACGCAATGGGCCGCAGCGGCTCTACGGATCAAGAGCTAGCGGGGCAAGGGGTAAGACATATTCTTGAAATTAGCTTTACATCATCTCATTCATATCCTTATTCTCCTCTTCCTTAAGAATTAGGACTTTTAAAGCTGCGACATTCGTGTCCTGGCCCAGCCCTGAACTACACAACCCACATAATTAAAGCACGTCCGGGAAATAGCTATTCCAATGGCCCATCCAAAATAGTACGTTGCCGTGAATAACTCGCACAAAGCAACGAGGTGTTTATCCAAATCTGAATAGTCGCCAGTCCCCCTGAAGCAAAGTTACGTATCCAATCAAGCAACGACTCCACGCTTCGTCCCTGACATGCCTTTCCGATGGTCACACCTGCGTCATGAGAGCTCACCTGTATTATGCCATGACGTGACCCAAACAAGACCTGGAGACAAATACTAGAGCGCAAATCAACAAATCGGTGTGGAGAAGAGGATGACATTCAAAAATAGAATAAATGCTGACGGTCTTACCATACTTATGAGAAACTGGATGGGTATCATGCTATGCCATCTTATCATCTCTCGAATGACACGGACCATGTTCCGATGCATGTTCACAACTGTAGAATTCCCGAGCCCCCCGAGAAATTCTGGGAGAGGGGTCTGCCAAAATATGTTCAGCGTTGAAGGACCATGTCAAGAATGACTCCTGAAATTTCGGAAAGACGACTACTGTTTCGGAGGGCATGCAAGTAAAATAGCCAAAGCAGTTGCTTCTTGCGGTCGCATCGCAAAGTGGTCTGATGTACTAGGGTCACCAGGTCATAAACGTTTCGAGGGTATCATTATTATTAATGAGTTGGGGAACACTCACGTTACATCGAAAGCGAAGAGATCCATAACGCGTCCAGAAGGCTCGTCGAAGCTCGAGGGGATTTGGAAGATCATCCGTGATCAGTGAACCAACAACGCCAACTGCAAGAACAAAAGGTTCCAGAAGGCCACAATTCCGATAGCTTATATAATATCAAAGTAAGAATCCCACTACGGCAGGTGTAGATAAAGAGGGTTCAGAGATCAAAGGCAAGTGGCACGATTGGAGGATTGGAGGTCGATAGAGGAGAATATACTATTCCAAAGGGAGGCAAGTCACCTAAGAGAACTGGACGAGGTGCGTCTCACTGAAAGGGTGCGTCCATCCGGGTATAACAGAGAACGGTAACTTTGGAGGAAAAAGCGGGCGGAGTATGGGTTTGGGCTGTGTCGACCGGTCTCAGAATCGCATACTATTGAATGAGCCCCATGATAGCGATGGCAGGCGAGCGTGGTGGGCTCACTATGAGGGGGGGGGGGAATTCTTCGTAAAAGTCTCGAAATTGGACGGTTGACCCTGGCAGAGAGGCAGAACTGAACGTTCAGAACGATAACGTCAGCACCGAGAATCGCTCTACCGCGTCAACTGGGTGAACGAGGGTTCCGTTTTGCAGGATCCGAGTCATATCCCTGAGCTTTCTTTCATAGCTGCATCTCTTATCAGCTCTACTTGCATTCGCAGTGAACAACCAATTCACGAGATTCAAGGAGATAGCGTAAGGAACCGCCAACAACGCCCTTAATGTGATCATTTACCACTTCCATGTGCGACATTACCCGAGGAAAAAGTAGGCGCCCAAACGAAATTCCAGATGACGGGGAGACGAACTAGCGCAACAATGATTAACCGTCAAACTGATTTCAAAATTTTTACAGCTGCACCCTCCCCTACCCTCCTCCCGCCTGCTCACCTGAGGTTTTCCTCATACGACTCCCTACAATCAGGGTCAGCTGTGCGCTGCGCAGTTAACCTGGTTATAATCGATAGTCGTGTTTAGCATATTTTATGACGATTTTGGGAAAAGCTCCAGATAGGGCTTGGGAAACGATCGTATCGGGGAACTTCCCTTAGAAGGGAAGGGTCGTAAATTTGCATTCACCGCAAAGCACGGTTGACCCTACTACTACGATCCGCAGTGTCAATTCTGTCGCTGAACCTGTCATCATCTGACACACCAGAAGCTCGAGGTTCGGCGTGAGAATTCCTCTATAATTGGT